TGTGTACACTTGTGAAGTACATACATATGCTATCACACCAAGAGCACTGTTTTATAGTTCCTTCTTCAGTTCATGATAGCTCTGGGCCATCACCCACAGCAGTGTATTTAGAGCAACTCCATAAATAGAGCAACTCCATAAATAGAATGATGGGGTTTTTTGTTTGTTTTTAGAGACAGGGTCCCGCTCTGTCACCCAGGCTGGAGTGCAGTGGCATGATCACAGCTTACTGCAGCCTTGAACTCCTGGGCTCAAGCGATCCTCCCACCTCAGCCTCCCAAAGTATTGGGATTATAGGTGTGAGCCGCCATGCCCAGACTGTATCTCAATTTAAATTGGTTACAGGTAAGTTGTTGGATCATATCATATGTATGAAATGACTACCACAAAACCTCACCTTTTTAAAAGAAAATGCAATCAATTATTTATACAATGGAACAACCCCTTGTGACAGGCAGAGGCTGTGGACACATTTCCACCGTGAAGAGGCAGGTAGCACCAGCCTGGGACAGAGGGCAGTTCCACTGGTTTCCAAGCTGGCTCTGCAGCTGACTCACCTCTTGAAGCCTCAGTCTTCTCATATCTAAACAGTACTCTCTATCCTAGGGCTAACTGTGAGCATTAAATAAGGTAATTTGAAGAGCTTGCAGTGAACTGTGATGATGCCAATGTACTTTAGCCCCAGAAACAGAAGGGGACCCTGACTCAAAAAATAAATAAAATAATAAAATTTGGGCCACCCACCGTTATTACGCTGGGGGAAAAAAAGAAGATGTACTGGGCTGAATGGTGCCCCCCTCAAAAAGATATATCCACCTCCTAACCCCCAGAACCTGTGAGTGTGGCCTTACTTGGAAATAGGGTCTTTGCAGATGTAATTAAGTTATCTGCACATAAGAGCATCCTAGATAGTGTGGGCCTTAAATCCAGTGACAGGTGTCCTTGTGAGAGATGGAAGGGAAGACACAGACACAGAAATCATGCGAGGATGGAGACAGGGACTGGAGAGACGCAGCCTCAAGCAAGAAGACCTGGAGCCACCGAGCTGCAAGAGGCAAGCGAGGATTCTCCCCAGAGCCAGGCCCCCGCGGGCACCAGGATTTCCGCCCAATCACCGTGAGTTTGCATTAATCTCTATTATTGTAAGCCACCAAGCTAGTGGAAATTTGTTGTAACAGCCCTAGGAAACGAATGCGGAAGGGCGGAGGGGGTGCGAGCGCCTCCATAGCGCACCTCTTTGTTCCCCGAGAGGCCGCGTTGGGGGGGCGGCCCTCGTGCTGCGGTCTCGCGCGCCCCCTCCTGGCCCGAAGGCAGAACGGCGCGCCCCGCGGTCTAGTCCCAGTCTCAGAGGAAAGGGGAGAACAGGGCCCATCCGAAAACTTACACAGAAATACGGTTGCAGGAACAAGTTTTCAAATAGTAAATTTAAATAAGTAAATGTAATTAAGTAAATTTTTAAGTAGTATTATTTCTCCATCTTGAAAAAAACGTGAAGACCTTAGCACTCGTCCTGAAGTCTTATGCACGTCCCTCCCCTCTGGTCACCCCTGGTCATTTCCACTCCTTGTTGACAGCCCAGCCGCTGGTCCTCCGGGTGGGTGCCTTGACTCCGCCGCTCACCGAGACTTCTTGTAACTCAGCCACACGCATCCCTGGAGATGCCCTCCCGGGCCGTGTCCTCACAGCAACTGCACACTTCCAACAGCCCGGATTGAAACTGTGCCCCCTAGGATCACAATGCCCTGTGCTCCAGCTCACTCTCTCCAGAACCTCCAATCGTGAAGACTCACCTGTATCAGCTCGCTCACCCGGTGATCCCGCCGATGCCAGACCGGTCTCTCTCGACTGAACTCACTTCCCCGCCTAGCCCGGTTTCTTGTTTCATCTCACCATCACTCTCTCCCACGTCAGCCACTCTCCCCAGCTTTCTTTTAATTGGCAAAGCTCCAGCCCCACCACCTTCCACACCTTTCTCTCTGCTCACACCTTCCTTCCTCCTCCTCCTCCTCCTCCTGCCTTCCTCCTCCAGACTGAGAGCCCTGCCTGTGGTTGAGGAATGGAAGCCATCACAGCCTATCACTAACCCTCCTGCATCTGCGACATTTTCTCTCTTCCTGCTAGAAGGGAGGACATGGGCCTCCTCCTGTCTTTTTCAACCACTCTCTGTCTAGTTTCCCTTTCTCATGTCCTCTGTTGTCTTTCCCAAATTTCATTTCTTTGGTCATCCCCCCCCCTTTCTTACATTATCTCTCTTTTTAACAAACTGCTCTCATTGGTGTGCACACCCACTGTCAGCACCAGCTTCATCAGCTTCTATGTACCCTTTGCTATGCTCTATTCTATTTCATTGGCACTGTTGCTTTGGTTATTTCTGTCTCCTGCCTTTGTCATTCTGTTAGTTAATTTCCAGTGTTCTCGGGTCTACTGTGGCTCCTGACATTCTTGTGTAATCCTAGCATCTTCTGGATGGCCTGATTTGCGGGCGGATCGCTCGATGGTCAGCGGGTTCAATAATTCTCTATTGCTGAGCATTTATTTTTGATGGAATCCTTTATCTTCTACTATATTAATAGTAATGTATATTTGTATTGGCCATTACTTTATGTTATTATTTAATATTAGAAAAATTAGCCGGCATTGGTGGCGCATGCCTGTAGTCCCAGCTATCTCAGGAGGCTGAGGGCAGAGGATTGCTTGAGCCCAGGAGTTTGAGGTTGCTGTGAGCTAGGCTGATGCCATGGCACTCACTCTAGCCTGGGCACCAAAGCGAGACTCTGCCTCAAAAAAAAAAGATTTTTAGAACAGCTCTGGTAGCTGCACAGGCTGACCTGTTCTGGGGTGGCCATCAATGAGGGTGCATCGGCCAAATTGGATGTGAAGTTTCCTGGGGCTGAGAGCAATGATCTGCTCTGAGCGTGCTGGTTGGTTTGCCCATATGAATACTCAAGGAATCAGATTGACAGTAGAAGCTGGAGTCAAAGCAAAGACATCACACCAGGAGTGGTGGCATGCATCTATAGGCCCAGGTACCCAAGAGGCTGAGGCAGGAAGGTCGCTTGAGTCTAGGAGTTCAAGGCTGCAGTGAGCTATGATGACGCCACTGCACACCAGCCCAGACGACAGAGTGAGACCTTGTCTCTAAAAAATAAATAAATAAAGTAAATCAGGGAAGACATCACCAACCTTTTCAGTGAATGATAATAACAACTGTAAAGTGCCTACTATGTGCCACACACTGTTCTAAGTGCTTTACATATATTTTATTATTTGTATGTTAACAACAACCCTATGAAGCATGTTATCATGTCATCATTATTATCCCCATTTCATAGATGATAAAATCGAGGCAAGAGAGGTAACTCGCCCCAGGTCAAACTGCTAGCAAATAGTAGAGCTGGTACAGGAACCCAAGCTGTTGGCTCCAGAGCACACGGCCTCTTGTTTGACCCACAGGAGGATGACAGGCACAAGAGCCGATAATGCTGGAGTTAAACGTGGAAATCAGATCTGCAGAGCTTTGCATTTCATGCTCAGTTTTGTAATGACCCTCTTGGCCACTGGCAGATTTGAAGGAGGTCAGGCACGGGCATGACAGAATCAGATTAATGTTCTGGAAAGATCAGTCTGTCTGGCTGCAGAGTCAAGTGGGGGTTGGCTCTTGCAGGGACGGGAGACTGATAGGCAGGTGCCCAGAACTCTGTTTTGGAAAGGAAATGAGGCCAGCGGGATGCAGGGCACGCCCTGCAGGAACCACAGCCGCCCCTGGGAGCACGGCCTGGTGACCTAGAAGTGGCTTGGTACGTGCCAGCCTGCACCCACACGGAGGCCGGGGTGGATCCGCGAGAATCGCTGGGGCCTGGGGGAGTGGAACTGGCCACGAGCCAGCCCGGGGGTCTTCGGGGACTCAAGGCAGCCCTTCCAGGCCGGCTGCTGCTCCTGCCCTGTCTCTGCTCTGCGGGGCCCCACCTGGCCTTGGGGCTCCCTTCTGCGTCTGAGCTGGGGACGGCCGTGCTGGACTCCCCTCTCTAGTGCTCCATCTGCTCCTCCCCAGGCCCCGGTGGTGTGCGCTCCCACCAGTGCTCCAGGACCCCACGCAGGTGCTCCTCTGCTGCTCTCATAGATGCTCCTGTGTGGCCCTCTACCCTCGCAGGTGCTCCCGTGCGGCTGGGACGCGGAGGCTGCGCCAGGGAGGCCTGGGGACGAAGGCAGGCAGAGGGAGGGCGCCGGGGCAGCGGGGTGGCCGCCGGGGCAGCGGGGTGGCCGCCGGGGCAGCGGGGTGGCCGCCAGACTCGGGCCGCAGGAACAAGCCCTCCCACCAGCGTCTACTCTCTCTGCTTTCCTCTCCCACGTCCGCCCCGGAAAAGGGCAGAGAAATGTCAAAAAGCCACTCCTGGGCCAAGCCTGGCCACAGCTTGGCACCCGACCTCCACCACCCAGGCCAGCTCCTGCTTTGACAAACAGTCGTCAAGATAAGTGGGCTCCCCTGGGTCGGGTCCCTGCGCAGAAGCGAATGAAGGCAGCGTCCTGGCTGAGCTGACACCAACCTGCCCAGGAGGAAAAAGACAGGAGGACGCAGTGATGGCAGAGAACTCCAGGGGACCAGACTCAAGGCTTGGGCCTCTCCAAAGTGGGTGTCAAATCACAAATGAGGGTCCCTGGGTCCCTCCCACTCTAGTTTTTTTTTTTTTGATGATTGATTTTTTACTATTACTTTTTTTTTTTTTGAGACAGTCTCACTCTGTTGCCCAGGCTAGAGTGCTGTGGCGTCAGCCTAGCTCACACCAACCTCAAACTCCTGGGCTCAAGCGATCCTCTTGCCGCAGCCTCCCAAGTAGCTGGGACTACAGGCATATGCCACCATGCCCAGCTAACTTTCTATATATATTTTGAGTTGGCCAATTAATTTCTTTCTATTTTATAGTAGAGACGGGGTCTCGCTCTTGCTCAGGGTGGTTTTGAACTCCTGTCCTTGAGCAGTCCACCTGCCTCGGCCTCCCAGAGTGCTAGGATTACGGCCTATTACTTTTAATTGTAGTAAAAAATACATAACAGAAAAGGTGCCATCTTAACCAGTTTTATTTGTACAGTTCCATAGTGTTAAGTGCTTTCACCTGGCTCCACTCTAGATTTACATTGTGATTTCTCACATACAGAATGCTGCGGAGAGACACAGTCAACCTCAAAGAAAAGGCAGAGACTTGGAGACTGACTTTGCTGAGAAAAATACAGAAGGAATTCCAAGGTGAGCATGAGAGGTTTTGCAGGCCACTGTGCACTTAGGAACTTTCCAGAATACCTGTTCCTCCCAGGGTATAAACCCTACACTTCTCAGTCATATCTCCCCACCACGCCTTCCCCTTACACGGGCCAGACAGAACCCGAGGCTCGTCTGAGAGTGGGCAGTGAGTACCCGGAAGGGATCCCGGTCACAATCGGAAACAGGGGCAAGGCTACTCACAAACCTCTGCAATGTCACCGTGGAAATAACCTGTGCAGTTATGTCAATGGGAAGTTATGAGTAATTGTGACAAAAAAGTATTCAACAATGAAGGCATTGTGTCTTTGGTCTCTTGTGAGCTAGAAAGCAGAGCAGGACAGAACTTGAACCCCTCATAATAAGAATGGCTAATACAGAGAGCATGTACTCACCAGCAAATTGGTATTAACGGATCAACGCCTAAGTGGACATATAGGAGTAACATTTATCGGGTGTCGGGCAGGTGGGAGGGGGAGGGGGGGATGAGTATATACAAACATAATGAGAGAGATGTGCAACGTTTGGGGGATGGTCACACTTGAAGCTCTGACTCGAGGGAGGAGAGGGGGCATGAGCAATATACATAACTGAACATTTGTACCCCCATAATATGCTGAAATTAAAAAAAAGAGAGAGCATGTGCTATGAGCCTGGCATGGTGCTAACAGTTTCCTCATTCAATTCTTTGTGATGCAGACGCTGATATTTTACAGCGAAGGGAATTGAAGCCTCAGGGCTAGCTGGCTTGTCCAGGGTCACAGGGGAAGTAGATGGTAGCTCCTGGATTTGGACCCGAGTGGACTGGCTCTGGTGACGTCACTGATGACCCCATCCTTGCCCGACGCTGTGCAAGGTGCTGGGGAGACGGGCGGGGCTCCCACCCTGCGAGGCTCAGAAGCTGGTAGAAGGGCGAGTCCACTGACTTCAAACATTGTCAGAGCCGCCAGTCCTGCGGAGCTATTAATAGAATTGCCCTAAATCTGTCCGTTCTGACTGGTAAAATTTTCACATGAATACTTTAACCAGGACTAACAGGCATGTCAACGTGCACTCACCAACCATCCTACCTCTTGCCGCCACCTTCCTTCTGTTTCAGCCCTAGTGCAAGAAAATTTTTTTTGATGTTGACAAAAGGCCTGAGAAAATCTGGAATATTTTAATAGCCCAACTTGTCTTGAGAGGTACTGCCGCTGGAGGGTGTTCCCCTCTGCCTGTCCAGCTCTCTAAAGGACTTGAGCCTGAGAGCTCTTGGCCGGAGGACAGCCCAAGGGGTAGCATTATCTCCGGATAACACCAAAAGGGCCAAAAGCAAAAGTAGAACAGGGTGTCTGGAATGATTTTCTATTTTCCTGTACTTGATCTCTAAAAATGCATATGAGCTCTTAGATTGCAAGCTAGTGGTAGGTGGAAAAGGAACAAGGTTTGAAAACAGTGTTATTTCAGGTGCCCACACCAGCTGTGCACACCATGACTTTAATTAACCTCCCCTTTCTTTGGCTTTCGTACCTGACCTTCCGCCCCACCCTGTACCCACTGCACTGTCACTGGGGCAATGGTGTGAGGAGGGAAGCAGCAGCTATTCTAATGGGTGACAACCCACGTCTGTCTACTTATCATCGCCTAGCCATAGTCACCATGAACAGAAAATACAGCCTTTCTTGCCCAAGTTTCCATCAACTTGTAGCTGAGGCATTTGTGCTTATATATCTTCCTTTTTCCCTTTGCTATCCGTTCATTATTTTTTGTAATGGAGGCCTTCATTTATCTGTATGAGTGGGTGACATTCAAATGCACTTTGAGCCAGAAGTGTTTCAACAGATGTTGCACGTTGGGGAAGAACAGACGCGTTGGCCACCCTGCCCGCTGTCACAGGTGGGCTGTGTTTGCAACTGGTCCTTTCAGGATTTGTTTTGTTTTGTTTTTCAGCATATTTTCAGGGCTCCCATTGCCAAAGGCAGCTGCATTTGGTGGCTTTTAGAATTTCGCAGTCCCTTTTCCCAGGGAGTGGGCCGGTGAGGAATTTCGTGCCAGTAATCCTCAGTTAAACTAACTACTTCTGCCTTTCTCAGCACGGGGCCAGGTTTTGCAGAGAGAATACGACATGAATTCTGTGTTTGGGGATGTCATTCCCTTGGGATCTTCTCCTTGCACCCTGTGGGATCCACTTCGGTGTCCAAATTTCCATTCTTCAGCGCCGGCCTTTTCAACCTCGGCACAGCTGGCATCTTAGGGCCAGGTGATTGTTGTTGGGAGCCAGCCTGTGAACTGTGGGATGTTTTAGCAGCGCTCCTGGCCTCTGCCCATGAGCTGCCAGTAGCACCACCCCAAAGCCTCACCCCCAGTTGTTGCAGCCAGAAATGTCCCCTGGTTAAGGATCATTAAAGTGGCGGATAGAAGTTTGGCTGCTGCGAAACATCCTCCAATACCAGGACAGCGCCCACAACAAAGAGGTGTCTGACCCAAAATAACAGTGCTGAGGTTGCAGACCTTGCCCTGTGTGACCTGGCATTAGCCGAGTTGTTTGTATTTTAGAGCCTAACAAATTCCTAACTCACACGCCCCTGTTAAGATGTCTCTCCTGATACAATCAAAGGGGATGAAAGGACTCTAGAGAGTAAAGGCTTTGAAGAAGGAAAGTGTGCTTACTCTAAGCTTGGGTCTGTCCACTGCTTTGTAGAGATATAGGCCCACTCTTCCCAAGGGAAAGGTTAGCACAAAACGGAGGCTCTCGGGGGAGACTGGCTAGCGGGGTATGGAGGCTGTGACAGTCGTTGTAACAACGTCAGTGGTCCCCCAAGGGGCCACCTTTCCCCCTTCCATGGTGTCTGTGAGGTCTCCCACTGAGGGCTTCAAAGCCACAGTATCGGGACAGAGGGGCAGCAATAAATCTGGTGCCTATGGCAGTCCACGCTGTGGGGCGGGGCAGGGGGCCCAGTGGCTCCAGACCCTCAGGGCCCAGATCGCATGAGATCTGATGACAGACAGAAGATGTGTGACCAGGACCATCCTGGAGGTCCTGGGACGCGTGGGTGCCACCCATCTCGACTCTCTTGGGGGTGAGGCTCCGCTTCTCTTAAACGGTGCCGATTCTGGGCTTTCATTCATCAACGTGACAGTGTTCAGAAGTGGCTTTCTCTGAGCAGGACTCTTACCTTGAATCTGGTTCTCCTGAAGAAGGAAAGGCTTCCATTTGATGCGTGTGGCTCCCAGCAGGACCTCACTTGCTGTATCAAAGAAAGAAGCAGTCTCCCAAGAGACTGTCAGAAAGAACTCAATGTGCTCTGGCTATTTCAAAATCCATTTCCCATGACTACTGTGGCCAAGGTACATCCACAGCAGACCTGTGTGGCCCACCCAGTTGGTGGCTGGATGGACTTCCAAGGGCTTTCTCTGCCTTCTAGAGAAAGAAACTTGTGCCATTCCAGGTCTTGAACTGTCCCTAGCTCAGGAGAGTCTCAGGAATACCCTGTCTGGCTCCCAAGGTGAGAAACACATCAAGAAACACGTGGCTCACGCCTGTAATCCTAGCACTCTGGGAGGCCGAGGCAGGAGATCACTTGAGGCCAGGAGTTCAAGACCAGCCTGAGCAAGAGCAAGACTCCATCACTACAAAAAATAGAAAAATTAGCCAGGCATGGTGGCATATGCCTATAGTCCCAGCTACTGAGGAGGTTGAGGCAGGAGGATTTCTTGAGCCTAGGAGTTTAGGTGGTAGTGAGCTGTGGTGACACCACTACACTCTAGCCCAGGGAACAGAGGGAGACCCTGTCTCCAAAAAGAAAGAAAGAGAGAGAGAGAGAGAGAGAGAGAAAGAAAGAAAGAAAAAAGAAAGAAAAAAGAAAAAGAGAAAGAAAAGAAAGAGAAGAAAAAGAAAAGAAGAAAGAAGAAGAAAGTTTCACCTGGTCCTGATCATGTTAAAAAAAAAAAAAAAAAAAAAAGAAAGAAGAAAGAAAGAAGGAAGGAAAAGGAAGGGAAAGGAAGAAAGGAAAGAAAGGAAAGAAAGGAAAGAAAGAAGGAAAGAAAGGAAAGGAAAGGAAAGGAAAGGAAGAAAGAAAGACGCCATTCATGCATTTCAGAGCTGTCATGGGTGAAGCATTCCATAGTCCTTGGACTTAGAGGAATTGATGTTATGGAAAGATTTCCATATTACAAAGAACTTCCTCCTCTTGGTATCACTCACGCTCCCTGCCCTGGCTGCCTGGGGTGAAAGGTCGGATAACAGCTCGTTAATGCCCACACACTGATCCTCAGAACCTGTGAATGTTACCTTGTACGGCAAAAGGGATTTTGCAGATGTGATTAAATTTACAATATTACGATGTAGGCATGACCCTGGATGACCTGGGCGGGCCAGTGGCATCACAAGCGTTTTTATAACAGGACAGTGGGAAGAGCCAGACAGAGAGGAGAAGGCAATGTGGTGACAGCAGGTGTCTCTTGCAGATAGAGGAAGGGACCATGCCCTAAGGAATACAGGCAGCCAATAGAAGCTGGGGAAGGCAGGAAACGGATTCTCCCCTCAGAGCTTCCAGAAGCCCAGTCCTGCCAACACCTTCACTCTAGCCCACTGAAACTGACTTCAGACTTCTATTCTCCAGACACGTATGAGAACATTTTCTAAATGTGTGTTGGTTTAAGGCAGGACATCTGTGATAACTTGTTCAAGCAGCCATAGGAAACTAACTCACCCAGCATGTGTATTCATTCACTCATTCACCATTTATTTAATAATCGACCTATGCATGTGCGCCTACTGTGTGCACCACACTTTTCCAGGCTAGTAAGAAAGAGTAAGAAAATAAATACCATTGCCTGAGCTGCACCATTTGTTGTCATGAGCTCTGTGTTCAGAATTTTTACCAATATAATTTCATTTAAACCTTAGGTAACATTGAAAGGTATGTAACATTATCACCATTTTATAGATATAGAAACCAAGGCTCAAGTAACTTGCTCCAGGCCCCACCGGTAATTAGAGCCGCAGG